AAAAGGATCCTAAAGAAGTTAGATACTATTCCCTTTGATGTAAGTCAACTAAAACATCAGTAAGTCCCATTTGAAGGTATAAAAATACATCGGGGAGGTGAGAGAAACAAAGTGCAAGGGAGGAGATGAAAATGTGTTTTGTAGAAAGGATAATGGGGCAGAAGGAGAGAAATAAAGAGATGGGCATAAAAAAATTGGCTGTGAGGAGGGTTATAATCCCTCTTCCTTCTTTTTCCACAGTTTATGTCTTGAAAGCTTCCACCTACTGCTTAGCATTTTGTGAGTATCCAACCATCCATCAACATCTCTTACTTTGCTGCCAACTTCATTTTAACTAGAGATCCTAGCCTGAAATGTATCAGCAAAGATCAAACTAGAAAATAGCAGGGGTCAAAGACACTTGAAATACAAAAAGTTCAAGGAAAATGGGAGATCAAGCTGGTCATAGGTCTTGAATACCAGAAAAGTCTATCAGCCCATTTAACCTGACATTTTGCATGGCAAAGGACAGAGCAGTGCATGCTACTTCCCTTGCAGTTAACCCTGAGAACTTGTGTGTAACTAAAGTATATCTACTAGAAAGCCTTGAAACGAAGCACTCAAGAAACTGGATCCTACAGACAGTGCAGTCATAGAATCACAGAATCATAGAATACCAGGTTAGAAAGGACCTCAAGAATCATTTGGTCCAATTTTCTTGACAAAAGCACAGTCTAGACAAGATGTGCCAGCATGCAATCCAAAAAAATGTCCAATTGTTGAGGAACTTACCACTTTTCTGGGGAGATTATCCCAATGGCTTATTCTTCTCATTTTGAAAAGTTTTCTTCTTGTGTGCAATTATAATATCCCTGGGAGTAACTTCTAGCAATTAGGCTTCATCTTTTCCATATGACTTCTTGTAAAAAGAACATCCCCACCTTTCTGTAACCACCCTTTAAATACTGGAACATAGTCTTGAAAGGTGTCCCCCAAGCCTCCTTTCTCAAGGCTGAACAAACCCAGTTCTCTCAGCCTTTCCTCATATGATAGGCTTCCTGGTCCTTTCATCATTTTTGTGGACCTTCTCTGGACCCTCTCCAGCCTGTCTGCATCTTTCTAGTCTAGTGAGGATTGAAACTGGACATCGTACATCCATATTTGGCCTGGCAAGCACTGAGAAGAGTGGGAAAATAACTTCTCTATCTCTGCTGGTGATGTCCTTGTTGATGTTAGCAAGCATCCTGTTTGCTTTTTCTCTGCTACATGACACTGCTCACTTATACTGAGGTAGTTGTCCACCAGTTCCCCCAGGTCCCTTGCCACAGTTCTGCTCCCTAGCTGGGAAAATTACGGAGTGTGCTGTGGTCCTGGATTATAATTTCCCAGGTGCAAGCACCTATATTTGTCTTCGTTGAACTTCATAGGTTCTTGTTATCCCACTCACCCAGCCTAGCCAGCTTGTCCTGCACAGCGGCTCAATCATATCCCTTCCTTTTTATGGGCATATATGGGCAAATACCTCATAGACTTAAGATGGGATCTGAATAGAGCTAAAAAACAAGAACACAGAACAAAGGGTGAGAAGGGCATTTTTTTTTTGCCAGAGTTGCTCTTCTGTGTTCTGAACAGATGGCTGACCATGACCAGAGACCTTAGAAAACTGAATCACTAAAAGGAACGTGTTCAGATTTAATTATAATTAATTGCACAAGGTACAGAAAGGGTAAAACTAATCCACAAACCTCAGATTATTGAGTCAATATATGTAGCAGGAGCCCATAAAAAAATTCACCCTTGTTCAATATTATGAAATTTCCATCACAAAACCTTGTATTGACTAAATAACTAAAACCCACATTTATTTTTTTTTCAATATCACAATTTAACAATTTCAAACATTTGTTCAACATCTGATCCTTATTCTTACTTCTTAGAAAGAGTGGCTTGAGTTTTACTGTATTTGATAGAATAGGAAATAAAATTATCTCTAGGAAAACTCACTTCATCCACTACAAAGTGACTGAGCAGTATAAATCTCTGGGACCTGGGCAGCTCATTTTCTGCATCTTTCTGAAAAAAAAAAAAAAAAATCTTTTCTTGGTCCAGTTGGTCACTTTGGATAAATAGTCACGTATGTACATGTATGTTAGATATATTGTAATCATCCCCTTCAAACATTTGACAAAATAATACCACTGTCACATCAACCAACAATGTATTCGAGTCAAAGGGGGTTGTATGTGTAGACATAGGGAAGTTGAAAAGTACCACATACTTAGGAAAAAAAGCTAAATAATTGCTATTCTTCTGCACAGTAGTTGAGCTGAACTTCCCAGTGAATTTGATGTTGTACTGGCTCTGGCTGGGATGGAGTCAGTTTTCTCCACAGCAGCCCATGTGGTGGTGTGTTCTGGATTTGTGCCTAAAGCAGCATTGATACCACACCAGTGTTTTGGCTGTAGCTGAGCAGTGATTCCACAACATCAAAGGTTTGCCTTTCTCATCAGGACGCTGAGACATTGGAAAGGGACACAACCAAGACAGTTGCTCGTTGACCAAAGGGACAACACCTTGCTCAGCAGCAGAGCTAGGATAGAGGAAAAAAGGAGGAGTAGGGGCTGCATGGTGTTCTCAAAGTCCTGTCCAACCTGACCTTGAACTCTTTATTCCCCCAGTCCCTGCCTTGAGATTCAGGATCTCAAAAGATGTGGGAAGAGCAATTGCCAGTGAAAGCTGAGACAAGAAAAAGCTGGGTACCTCAGCCCTCTCCCTGTCAGTTGTCACCAGGTTACCTGTCTCATTTGGGGCAGTGGTACAATTTCTTTTGCCTTCATTTTCTGACTGACGTGCCTGTGGTCAGATATACATCCATTTCTATTAAGGTACAAGTGCCAGTCATTTTACCTAGAGATGTCCCTGGCTGGAAAACACACTTATTCCGTAGACTGAAAATAGAGGAATGAAGAGTCAGAACCAGCAACACAACTTGCACATGAGACATCCTGTCATGAAGCCTCTGCCCGTCTGTAAAGTTGTTTTCATCATCATGTTTCATGTTTTTATCATGTCCATCAGTCTAGCAAATATGTTTCCTACCTTTGGGTATGAGAATCATGGTTTTAGGTAGTTTGTGGAAGGATCAGGAAAGTCTTATAGGTGCTGTATTATCCTCTCTAACTTTCAAGCACATCAGTAAGGTATATGCACTGAAAATGGCCTTTCATGAGCAGATTTTTCTGAAATGCTTTTCCTTCACCAACTATAAGATTAGGTATAAAAATATAATATTAGGTACATAAATAAAATATAGGTATAAAAATATAATATTAATTTATACAAATGGTATAAAAGAAACATTCTTCTAGAGGTTTTCAAAAATCCTGGATTCTTTGACAGTCAAGTTACCCATGAGTAATGTTAACAATGTCACCAGCTGCCTCGGAATAAGAGCAAAAGTCTGTTAAGGGGTTCTCATTTTACAGTCGTAGATAGACAGCTTTTGGGAAGCAATGCAAGCCTGACAGCGAAGGGATCTTCAAAGCAAAATGTAAAGGAGAATTATACACACACCCTTGAAAGTAGACTTGAACACAACATACAATTTAAGTACTGGAGAGGTTTTACTCTAATGCCTAATTTGCCTGAGTTTATTGGCAGAACTGCTGAAGTTACAAAACATCATTAAAATGAAACATATTTATTTCTTTAACAGCAAGCATTAGCTCATACAAATTTTGTGCTTTGTAAAGTGCGAAAGGCCAAACAGACTAAATGGCTTAAGAAAGGCAGTTCATTCAAGAAATTAAATTATTTTATTCAGCAGAGAACAGAAAGTACAACAGCTTTTATTTTTTTTCTTTTAGAAGTAGCCAATTTTGAAAAAAAAATCAATTATATAATAAATGTGGTTTGAAAGAACATTCTCTGTAAAAAGTTTATTCCTATCCTTTCAGTTTCATAAAAATGCTGTCAATTAAGTCTGACATAACCTTATGAAAATCTATTAGGTCATGTACAAAAATATTTCCCGCTATTTATCAGTATTGTTAGTAGTAATGACTATAGAGTGATGCTTCTGCCACAATTTAATACCTTTACTGAGTAAGATTTTTATAATAGTGTTTTATTAATTCAAGCAAAGAAGAAACCACAGCTGTACTGGAACACTGAGATCATAATTGGGCAACTGAGATTTTTCAGAGGGAGCTCTGGCTTTTTTATTCTATATGTAAGAAAAACAAAGGGAACTCTGGGTTGTTTTTACTTCTGTCTTGTATCCTCCTTTGTGAATGCTATCATGGATAATCCATTGTCTGTTAACACTTTCATCTAATGTTTTACCATCAGAATATAATTTTCAGCTCCAAGTTATATAAATTAGAGAAGTCAAAATTATATTTCTTTATTCCAAAATATTTTATATATTATTAATCACATTCCCCATTTAATAATAAGTACCAAGCATATATTTGCCAAGGATGGCCCACAGGAGTGTTTAACAGGGCCTAAGGGACATTTGCAAAATTTCTGAACATGATTTGAATCATCCACCATAAACAGAGCATTGTAATGTTTACTAAGGATCCATTTCTTTTTCAGCCATAAAAACTCACATAGGTCATAACCACAGCATTACTAGTTCATTGCAAAAATGAATTACCTCTCAAAGTAATTTAAAAAAAAAATTAGACTTCTGTGCCATTTTTTTTATCAAAATACTTATCCCCTGGGGAAAAACAAACAAACAAACAAACAAAAAAAACCAATCAAACAAAAAAACCTGGAAAGCTTCAGAGATCATAGATCATTGTTTAGGGTCTGTTGATGTTTCCTTCTAAAAGTCTACCTCCTTCTCAAGTTAGAAGGAACTGAATGTGCTTATAAATTCAGACAGAGGACTTTGCAATACCTATTACTACTCAATACGACTCCTTACTGTTCAGGCAGCGTTAAGTGAATGTGTTTACAATGTAAGGTTGTAAACAAACTGCAAACACCTTTTTTCCTTGATATTTCAGCTGCTACAGAGGTCTCCTTTTCATTCGACGTCGGAAACGGGCCGGTGGAAATCGTCGTCAGGTCTCCCAGCCAGCTCAACGACGACCAGTGGCATCGGGTCAACGCCGAGAGGAATGTCAAGCAGGCCAGCCTGCAGGTAGACCAGCTGCCCCTGGAGGTGCGGAAAGCGCCGACAGAAGGACACACGCGGCTGGAATTGTACAGCCAGCTCTACGTTGGTAAGATTCCTTGGCTGAAAGTACCTCCAGCAGGCTGTAGTGCCAAACTTATTTTTTGCCAAGTGCCTCTCCCAGACATGCAAACTTCTGCACTAGGAAAGTGAAAACTTCTGCTGAGGTCTTGCCAGGACTGCATGTGCCTGCAGTGCCCATCCCAGCCTCAGCAGCACTTCCAGCCTCTTTAGATTTGATCACAGTCCATCCTTTTTTGTTCACGGCTCTCACTGTGGTCTTTTTCCTTTAGTCCCACGGGCTGTTGGCCCATTCAGTGTAGGAAAACACCACATAGTGTTACACAAATGCAGTCCCTGGAACCAAGTTAGTCCAGCTGCTTTCTGGAGCTACTGGTTTCCACTACATTTTGGGCAGGTTATTGCAGCAGCACTTGTATTTCTCTGACTGTTAGCCTCGGGGCTGCAAAGCACAGACATGCCAAGTGTCATTAGCAGAAATCAGAACCCCATAAAATGTTGAGTAAAGAAGTACTTTCATACCTCTCTAGATATCTGTAAAAGGAGAAGAGGGAGGGGGAAAAGAAAAAAAATCTCTTCTTTTTCCCCCATGTTAGTCAGCATTCAACAATACAAATGAATTAAAATTATGTTTAAAGCCTTCATTGCCTTAGTAATCAGCCCAGTGTCACTTCAAACTGTGTGTAATGTGTCACCAGATGTGCAGGTTTTATTTACAAGCTCAGATTCTCCTTTATTGCTATGATCTCAATAAAAGGCAGTTTCAAAATAAGCTGAAAGATGAAGTTTGTTTAAAAGAGAGAGCCTTAACCTTTTAAAAGAAATACCAAACCTTTTGCCAAAAGCAGGAAGAGCTGGGAGTTTTTTCCAGTCTGAGTTCTTTGAGAACTGTTAGTAATTATGATTTTATTTGTTAGTTTTGAATTGACTTCAACACCAGCAATGTATTGAAATATGTAGCACATATATTGCCAAAACAGAAATGTCAGAATCTGCAATGGATTTTTTTTCTTTCTGAATAATATCTGTGCCATATAATGTCATGATTGGATCACACCTCTCAGAGAACAGATTTAAACCTTACCTAGAGTCAGTCCTAGAATATATTTGAGTTGGAGTGCCCAAAATGAACACTGGAACTTCAGTGCCTCCTGTTCCACATTCTATAAAATAAATCTGTAGATTAATCTGTTCTTTGGGCCAGCAAGAAAGCCTTAGGTATGATGACTTTGTGTCCTGGGGACTAGGACAGTCACCAAAGGAGAAAGAAGGTTTTCCATCACTGCAGTGTATGTGAGTTTACATAGAATAGAATCACACCAGAATTCCCTCTGCCTTGCGCACTCATCAGAGACCAAGCCTTGCCTCCTCCAGTCCAAGTCATCCAGTCACCAGCACTTGATTTGAAGTGGCTGTCTCTGGTTCATATTTAGTCCTCTTCCCCACTCAGGTAAATGTCAGGCTCTGTGCTCTGTGGTGATGAGCATTCAGATCTCCTCAGGGACCCTTTGGCACCTGGGGCACTGCAGTAATCAGAGGGAGGAGGGATGAGCAGAAAGGATGCCAGCCACTCACTGTTATTTACTTGCATTTTTTTGTTTGCTTTTTATGGTTGTTGTTTCTAATCCAGCCTCAGATATGACTTTCCTAGCTGAAATCATATTTTTCAGCAAGTGCTTACTAGGGATAAAAAAGAACAGTTCTTATTAACTGCTATGAAAAACTATCTCCACTCAGACTTTCAAGTGTAGCTTTTGAGTGTTACATTCTTTACTCTATGTTCAGACAACTAATCAGTGTACCTGATGTTTCTTGGAAATTAACATCTATATTTCCTATGGTAACTAAGAGTGGGGATTTCAATCTTTTTCTTCTTTGCCCATCGTAGCTTTGAAAAATGTAACACTACAAAGCATATTATGGCATTATTATTATTATGAGCATCCATCATCACTAATTACATGGAAAAAAAGGCTATACCTAGCAATCTAGCCAAGCCCTTTTCTTCCACCATTATCTCTAAAAACCTTGACGTTGAAATTAAGTGAAATCTTGCAGTGTAGGGCTAGAATCTCAAATGTCTATTCAGTGTAAAACAAACACTTATTGCTAAAAAAATCTACCTTTTTTGCTTACTTATGGTATGGTATCAAAAGGTTAGGTTTCATTGATTGTACTGTCATCTGGACAAGGTAATTCCTTGTTTTAAAGAAGTTACCATTTCCAGCTGTTGTCACAAGCTTAGCAGGATATTTCATGTAAAGCAACAATAAAATCTGTTCAGTGTAGTCTCACAGTTTTACACTCCTTCTCAGGTGCTGCAGGAGGCCAGCGAGGATTCCTAGGCTGCATTCGTTCATTAAGGATGAACGGGGTGACACTGGACCTGGAAGAGAGAGCAAAAGTGACACCAGGGGTGAAGCCTGGCTGCTCTGGCCACTGCACGAGCTACGGGATGTACTGTGCAAATGGAGGTAAATGTGTCGAGAAATACAACGGCTACTCCTGTGACTGCTCCAAAACTGCCTACGATGGACCATTTTGCATAAAAGGTAAATGCTTTAGTGCAGGAGGTAGAGTATGAGAGAACTATTTGCCTGAGGAAAAAAATAAAAATAACACCATAAACTTGATGCTTCAACTTTTATTAATTAAACAAGTAAATCTTATTTAATACTTCTTGCTAACAAGTCAAATTATATACCCAGGTTTTAAATGTGACTATTTAAAACCACACCTCTCATTAGGACTATATGTTACCTCTTTAAATCAAATAGCACAACAACATAATGCATCAGGAATGCCCACAGTAACAGCAAGTCTGACAGATCATATTCCACAGCCTCGAACAATTGTTGAACAATAAATTCCAACCAGCACAATGTCGTGGCTACTTCTTTAGAAAACACATGGATTTAAATGAAAGCTACCTAGTCATTCAGAAACAGATTTGAAGATATGTGTGTATGAGCTGAATATCTTAAATCTTGGGAGGGCAGCATTTGGCTTAAGAATTGCATCCGTCCATAACTAGAACAGGTCTTTTAGTAGCTCAAACAGAGTTTGAACTTGCTAGGGTAAGGGAAGGCACAGACCTCCCACGTCTGTGTCTGTCCTTTGGAAATGCCTAAAATACGTTCTTAATTTTCAAAATCAATTATTGTAAGAGACCAATTTACTATGGACACACCGGTCTGCATGAGAAGGAAAGGCAAGGAGAAAGGGAAAGAGGGATACATCAGTAAAAAAGCTAGAATAAAAGTGCTAATTTATTTCCACTTTTTTTTTCTTGTTCTGACCATCCAATCTGTTGCTCTTCCTAGTCATTTTAAAAGCTTTCTCGGAGTTTCAGCTAAAAATTGAAGGCTCTTCTCATCAGTATCGGTGATGTTAAAGAAACCTATAGCCTCACAAAGTGTTCTTCTGCTTTTACGTTCCACTCTGTACCAGGAATCCTGCAGGCAGGCTTTGTCACCAGATACCAAAGTCCCTTCATGAAGCTGACTTGGCAGTAGGGGACAGAGCCTGTCATTTGATGTTCTGGTTCACAACTCTTTCTTAACATCTCTTTTTTTTCCCAAGTCAAAATCTGAGAATTATTTTTTAAATATCCGTACCCTGCTCTCTTTTAGCCCCACTTAGAGGAAACCAAGTTTATAACAGAAATAGGCAATCTTTTTCTCTGATCCTGGGTTATGGACTGTATTTTCTCCCCACACACTCTAGCCACCTTCATTCATATTCATGTATATCCACCTTCCTTTCATTTTATCCTGGCAAAGCTTTGTCTGTTGCTGGGGTTGCTCACAGATTGGACCACCCTCTTCCAAAAGCTAAGGGATTGTTTTCACGTCTCCAGACACTCTGAGGAATCTCTAGCAAGATTATTTTATGAATTCCAATAAACACGTTGTGGTTTTAGTGCAGCAGAAGGGAAGCAGCTGCTTCTCTAGGTAATGGCTTCCACTGTGCTTGCATGCAGGAATTTCATCAGGTTTCACTATGCTGTGTTACTTCAAAGACCAATTATAAAACACCTCCATCACATTCAGGAATCTACATACAGCAGTTCCTGAAATGCGACTACAGTGATTTTGATTAATTTAGCAAATGGTTTATCATGAATAATGGTAATGCTTATTTAGTATTTCTGTTCACTAAAGAAGTTATAGTAGAGGAGACCCATTCAGGTTGGAACTGGGTCGGCCTCTTGCAGAGCACACGTTGATTAAAAAAAAAAAAAAGGAGAAAAAAAGGAGAAACTCTGCTATGCCATAATCACTGAATTCACTTTTTAGCTTTTTTGTGTATTGCCAAAACTCATCACATTGAATTTTATTTGTGGGTTTTCTGTTTCTCTTATGGATAGCTAAACCCCAAACTTCTGCCAAAACTAGCTCAAAGCTGCAGTGTTTTATTTTTCCTGGATGTGGAGCTGGCAGAATAAAAACATACCACTAGGGGAATAATTGAGCACCTAGCACAGACAAACCCTGGTTTTGGCTGGTCTGTAAGCACTGTCATAGCAACAGAAGTAATATTATACTATATCATACTGTTTTTTCCTTATCTGCTTCTCCCAGTCCAGCCAAAGGCCCCGAGCTCTGACAGTGATGCTTTGGACACGCAGCAAAACTTGCTGTAAGCTACTGCTGCTGGGCAGCACTGACTCATTCAAAGGTACACATGAGAGCACAGGGATCTCTGTACCATACTGTGTTGGGCCATTTAAACATGACATCAGATCTCTGCTTTAAATATCAAACCTATTCCAGGCTAAAAATAGCTTTCTAAATCCTTAAGGTCTTATGTGCAAAATGCAAATTACCAATTTCCTCTCTTTTACTGCTGAAAACTGATGTACTCATCTAGAATATCCCCAAGTATGATTTAGTGTGGGTGACTTCACAGGGCTTCTCTGTAGAAAGAACAATGGGGCACTGGGGAAAAAGCTAGAGGATAAATTACACAAAATAGACTGTGTTTGGGGCATCCTATCATCAAAATAATTGTAAAATCTCTTTAACAAACAATACTGAAAATGACATCTTACAACAGTTCATTCACAGCCCATTACTTTTTGCATTGTAAATTTAACTTGCATTAAGCCTTTTAAATCAAGTAAAGAATTGGAACTACTTATGCATGTTGTCAGACTTCCTAGGCTTGTAAAAGGAGGGGATCCTGTGTTTTCTTTTTAACAGCAGCTCCTGTACCCTGTCCTCCTCATCCATGAGAAAAGAATGAATATATCTTCTAAATACAAAAGCCAAACGTATATAACAACTGCAAAATAAATATTGGCAAAACAGCCAAGTATGTTTTAGTTTTAAAAATATTTTACAAATTTATAAAAATTTGAAAATTTATTCCTGTAAAATAAAAATGTTACCTAAATTATATTTTAATTGATTTGGATGAAATTATCATAACTTGCCTATTTCAATGCATTTTTTTTTTTTTGTTAACACTTTGACACTTTCCCTTCTGCAAAAGCACTGAAACATCTGTGAACATGTTTTCAAATACTGCATTATCTGTTTTCAACATTTTTCATTCCTTATAGTAAGGGCATAGTTGAATACTACTTGTGCTTTTCTAACCTGCGTCACTGTATGCTATTTGTTGCTATTATGCTGGGTGAGTCTAATATGGGGCAAGCAAGAATATTTTCCTTTGTTATCTTAACTAGGAATTCACATTCACAGCTGCCAAAAAATAACAAGATTAGTGCTCCGCAGGATAAACTAGGACTAGGTTTCATAATTTCACTCCTCTAAATAAATTTTCCAAGCCAAGGAGATCTGTTGATTTGATAATCAGTAATGCCTGACATTTTAAGTCATCACATTCAAGCCAATATTAGATATTACCAGAAAAATATGCCACTCATCTGGAGTGAAAGGTGGCACAATGTAACACCTTTCAGTATAACATAGACTTCTCTTCCCGCTGATTTTAATTTCCCACAGGAAACTTTTGTTATCCAAAAGTTTTATGTTGATATTCAAATCATTTGCCCATGGTAAACTTTTTGGGTTTGGTTACATACTGAAACTGCTAGCACAAGTGATGGGGAAAATTAAAGGAAAAAAACAATCATTGTTATAAGGAAATCACCATACAATGTCTCATGAGTAATAAACCAGGTCCACGTGTTGTGGATTCTTTTGCTGATGAAATCCATCCTTAGAGCCACTGACTGATGACTGACAAGAAATTGCATTGTCTCCAGCCTTATTAGCAGCACATCACACCATGATTGATGTTGTAGTGGCCTGGAAATTACACAATTTTTTTTACAAGGACAAAAAGGAATGCAAAAATGCACTCTGACATCTATTTTAACTTTAGTTTTGTTTTGTATTTGAGGCATATGCAATTGGCTTTACTTCTTTCACTGCTCAAAGAAATTGCTCTGAGGAATAGCTGCAGTGTTTCTGCAGTCCTGCAGATTGCTTTCTGACCTTTCCCTGTCCTTTGCTTAAACATAAATTCTCTTTTTTGTTTCTCCCACAGCTGTCCTATCATCATAAAAGCATTTCTGAGAAAACAATTAATTTTTGTTCCTTTAAAATACCAACTCTTTCCTCCCTTTAACAACAAAAAAAGCAAAGGTCAAATGCAGGGCATGTAGCAGCATTCTGATGTGGGACATACCCCAGGGAGAAAGCATTCCCCCTTTGGTATTGAAATGCAGTGGAACAACAATAGAAGAAGAAATTTTGAACCACCAAGACAGTGTGGCAAAAAAAAAAAAAAAAAAAAAAAAAATTTAAATAGCTGGTGCTATGACTCATGTGCCTTCAGGTATGCTGGAAGGGCAAATTCAAAGCCTCCCAATTTCTATGCAGTTATTCAATTTGCACCAAGGAGACGAGAAGAGTGTATACTCTTTTTTTCTTTTTTTCTTCTTTGGACTAAAGCTCAGATTCACGGTGTGAATTCTTGCAATCCTTATGCCAATGCCCGAATTAAGCTCCTTCATGTTTGTTTTTGTATTTGCATGAACCCTGAAAGCACTTACAAGTAGTATTGTTACAGTCAGATTTTCGTCCTTTCTTGCTTCCTTCGAAGTCTCAATGAGAAAAATCAGCTTTTTAGTAGGCTGAGGGGATGCAAGACACGGAGGAGAGGAGGGAGGGGCAGCAGCTCTGCACCCTTCCAGAGTGAAACTTGATCACCTCCAAATTCTGCCCTGGTTATTTCCATTTAATTCCGTTTATTTTGCTGGTTGCAACAACATTGCATTTTTTGGGTTGAAAGCAATGGATGGCGGGGGGCGGGGTGGTGAGGGGGGTGATTTTAAGAATGGTTTAAGGTATCAAACTTCTTAGCTTTCATAATTGCAGAACCCAGGAAATCAAGGCAACATGCCCTCCCACATCCAAAAAAACTCTACTATATGCAACGTGATTGTGATCTGTTAGCTTAAAGTTACATGAGAAATTTTCCTGGGGTTGTTAATGTTTGGCTCCCAATATGGTAAGTCTGAATGCTGCAGATGGGCTTTTTTACCTGTAGGTCATACTTCAGGACTTGGGTTTTATCC